AGGCTGAAAAGCCCTGGATTAGGTAAACCTGGCTCATAAACAGTAACTGTGAGATGGACGTTGGAGTCCTAGTAGACAATCACTTGAAAACGAGCCAGCAGCGTACAGCAGCAGCCAAAAAAATCTAATATAATTCTTGGTTGTATAAGCAGAATCAAAATCACGTGACATATTAGGATTGCTTTATAAAACCTTAGTAAGACCACACCTGGAATACTGCATCCAGTTTTGGCCAACACTTTACAAAAAAGATGTTGAGACTTTGGAAAAAGTGCAGAGAAGAGCAACTAGAATGATTAAAGACCTGGAGATTAAAACATATGAAGAACAGTTGCAGGGACAGGCTAGTCTAAAAAAAAGAAGGACTAGGGGTGACATGATATTTGAGGGGCTGCTACCAAGAAGAGGGGGTCAACTTATTTTCCAAAGCAGCAGAAAGCAAGACAAGAAACTAGAAGACCTCCAAGGTCCCTTCCAGCTCTATTCCGATTGATTGAAGGTTCAAAAGGGAAGATCTACAGAGGGAACTGGTTGATGAGAAAGACTGCAATACTTGTGGGGGGGGGGGAAGACTGGGAGTGAAATGAGGAATTCTTGACTAAGGGGCAGGAATTCCAAGGAACCCAGGAAAGAGGTATGTTTTCTTCCTCCTTTGTGGGCTTAAAAGCAGGCTTGAGAAGCAAAGAGCCGTGGTCGTGCAGTGGTTAGAATGCAGTACCGCAGGCTAGTTCTGCTGACTGCCAGCAGTTCGGTAGTTCAAGTCAAGGTTGACTCAGCCTTCCATTCTTCCAAAGTTGGTAAAATGAGGACCCAGATTGTTGGGGGACAATATGCTGACTCTGTAAAAATGCTTAGAAAGGGCAGTAAAACACTATGAAGCGGTATATAAGTGTAAGTGCTACTGCTATCGAAGCTGCCAAATTTGAAATGAGCATATCAAAGATAGTGTTAGACTCACATGAATGAGGAAAAGTTAAGCTATCAAGAGCTCCATTCTGAAATGCCTGTCTAGTTTGCTCAGCTAAGCCCATTATATATTTTAGAAATAAACACAAAACCCAAGTGGGAAAATGACTTTTGGCTTTGGTTTGTTTGCATGATGTCCTATATTTGTGCATGGAAAGCAGCCCAGAGAAAACAAATCTTTCCCAGTCAAGTAAGAAATTGGATTTGGGGAGAGAGAGGAGTCCATATCCACAAACGAAACAAAATGAAGAAAAAAAGAAAGTAAGAAAGATGATCTTGACAGAAATGTGTAGAATCATTACCTAGGCAAAAGGGGTTGAAACATTTTTTTTAAGGCCAGAGCAACAAGTTACATGCCTTCTTGCTTCACTGGAGTGTAAGAAGGAGAAGGAAGTAAAGCAAGTCAGACTTTCAAATCCTGTTATTATAGCCAATCTCAATAAAAGTAGTTTAGCCTTCATGTACAGTTGATTACCTGGTCTGGTCTACTAAGTAGAGTTGACAACAAAAGACATTCAAGTATAAAGTTTGAATGGACTTTCCATGTCTTACTTTAAGAAAAGGTATGTCTATAGGGGGGTGAGGTACCCTGATTAATAAACCTGTAAATCTCAAAGTTAAATATTTTTTTTTTAGTCTATTTGCTAAATCCATCAAAGTGTCACATAAACTTCTAGAACAGAGGTCCTTAACTTTTGTGGCTTGACAGCCCCGGGGGGGAGAAAGGGGAACCGGGATGTGTGAGTGGCGGCCCAGCGCATAGACATGCACATGCAACATGTGCACACCACCGTCCACGCAGCCTGGTTCTGAATAGGCCACGGCCAGTAGTGGGCCACGGCCCAAGGACTGGGGACCCTGATCTAGAAGCTTCCTGTGCTAAAAATGAATGAAAGACAGATTTGCTATTAGGAAGCTGTTGGACATTATTAATGTTGTATTTGTGCTGTGTGGATAGGAGGTGCTACAGGCTTCTCTGAAGCAGCCCTTATCCTCTGAATTGAGGCCCTTCTCAAGATGGGCCCAACCTGGCTGTTGTGTAGAAGAGCCGTGAAGACCTGGCTCTTTACCCAAGCATTCAGTGGGGGAGCATGAGATCCCTCACTTCATGAGGTATGCCATCTATTATTTTTGTTCTTTACGGTTAGTAATTTTATTATAATTTCTTTGATTGTTATTGCCTCCCAGAGTCATTGGGAGTTGGCCTATATGTACTCTAGAAACTTCAAGAATATATAAAGGCATTTCAAATACATGTTGGAAATGTGAATACCAAGAAGGGACATTGTACCATGCTTGGTGGATGTGTAAAATTTTTTTAAAAAAATCTGGATTCAAATGCATATATTCAGAAGATTTTAAAGATTAATATACAATTGAGACCAGGGTCATTCTTTTGGGATTGATGGGCAAACAGTTGGAAAAAATCTTGGAACTTTGTTTTGGTATATGATAACTGCAGCAAGATTATTATATGCACAAAGAGGGAAAGATTTGTCAATACATATAATGAAGGAATGGTTGGTGAAGATGAAATTCATTGAGATGGCCAAATTGATTTATTTGATTAGAGAAAAGACAATATCCACATTTATTGCTGAGTGGAAACCTCTTATGGACTTTATGTTTAAAACAGAAAAAAAGAACTTGTGATTTATGGTTTTTATGATTAGATAGGATAGATTATAGAAAGAAAAGAGACGTTGTAACTCTATAGAAAGAGGTAAATTTATAATTGCACTTATAAGTGCTCTAAAGAAGATTAGAAGCCACAGTATCTTTTTTTCTTTCTATTTTGCTTTTACTTTTTTCTTTCTTGCACTTTTAACTTTCTCTTTGATTTTATTTTTTTTCTTTCTTTATATTAGTTTGTATTAATTTTTCATGTTCTTTCATAAAACTTTTAATAAAATTATTAAAAAGTTGGGTGACATATAATTAATATATTTGTATTATTATTAAAAAATAAAACAGCATTTTGTAAAGTCTCAGTTGCTACATGAAGAGTGATTTCTGATATGACATTTTGTCACAGTATCTGTTTTTAGGACACTTTTCATTAAAAAGCCACCTTTTTTTAAAAAAAACCATAAATAAACATATATATTTTTTAATCTTACTGTTTAAGATATATTTTGTGAAATGCAGATAGCTACTGAGTTATCCTGCTTCACCTCCCATAATAGTTTTACCAGTTTGGGAAGATGGACATTTTTGATGTTCGTGGAGAAATGTTTGCAGAGAAATGTATAGAAATGTACTGAGGTGTGTGCGTGAAATCTAAGTGTTAAGTTTGTTTGGTAACTAGAGACAGAATGGCAGTAGAAGAGTTTTACTATGCTTTTAAGTTTTCACTGTTTCACATATAAAAAACAAAGGAAAGATAGAAAACACCAAGATACTCGTCCAGCAAAAGTGAGGCACGGTAGAATCTTCCCAGATGTTCTGTTCACTTGAAGGAAACGTCAAATTCTGATTTTTATTGGAGCTGCTGGACTGGATCAGAGGGTCAAGTTTCCCCATTGCATTATTTCCCTCTTCCATCCCCCACCCACCACCCCGGGCCAGCTGCTGTAAGGTTGGGAGGGAGGGGTGTAGGAATACAGGAACCGCCTTTAAAGTCTTACTGGTTCAAGGCCAGCCTGCTAGACACAAATGCTCTTAGTTTTTTTATCTTTAGGAGAGGAAACCTGCTCAGCAAGTCTCTTGACAGCTTCTGCAGACAGTGTTGAAACCTGCTCTTTCGCTTAAGTACTTAACAAAAGGAACAAACTCATTACAAGTGTTGGCATTCAGCCAAATGTGCTTGGCCGCTGCAATTGACAACCTACAAAAGGTGCCCAGATTCTGGCCTGTGCTAATTCTTTTGCATGCCTCCCGAAGCATGTGTTAACTGGCACAGAATGTAGAGAAGACCCCTCTCAAGGATGGTGGGGGGTGACATGTTTTGTTCCCTACCTCAGTTTCCCGGTTGATGCTCATTACAACTGCTCTCCTGTTTTGGTGCTTTTTCCCCTTAAGGGTCATTGAACATACCGCCCCATACATTGCTAGGTATTTATAGGTGCCTTAACAGAAAGTTAAAATGTCTATATCTAATCTTGATAGGTTAGCTAAATATTTAAGTGACATAGAAAGAGGAATATTGGTATTGGTTCAAAGATTACTTATTTATTTCTTTTGGTATTATAATCTCCATAAATTCCTGGTAATTTCTTTCTTAAAATAAACATATAAAACATTTAAATAACCCCAAAATAATTACATAAAATGGTATGATAAGAATGTAGACAAGATTTAACAGAACAAAATAAAAATAAAAGCACAGTTGGTGGCTATTTCTATATCTATCTCTAACCATTGATTGTGCTGCCTCTACTCCTGTCTTACTCCTTTAGTGGCATTGATAGGCAATGTTGTAATAATCTAATTTCCATCCTGGTACAATTTCAAGCTCTTTCTGCCAACCTCTAATATCTACTTACAGCTTCCTTCTTCCAAAGCATTGCATTCTTTTCTCATGTATCATCAGCCTATCAACATAGTCCACATCTGTCCACATTCCCCTTCTCTATCCAGTTCTCTAACAGAATTCATATACAATAAACCTTCTCAACTCACTCTAAGCATAAAAATCTAAATCTTATACTCAGGGATTAGCCATCTTTTGAGAGATGCTGTTAGAAATTACAGCTTGCTGACACTTTATAGTAGGAAGTCTCATCCATTTTATTGCTCCCTCCTTTTACTTTGCCCATGCCATATCCTGAAGCTTCTTTCGTCCATGGGCAGCAGGACTATTCTGAAGCTCATCCTACTTGATGGCTCAACAAGATTTTATTCATTTTGTGCTGGTCTCTTGAATGTGTTTATCAGAGCCAACCTGCACATGTCTGCTGAGTGTGTTTGTTGCAGGAGAGATAGATCCTTGGGGACAAAGACAGTGTACTTCTAATGTGTATTAAATCGCCTAACCCATCTCTTGTAAAAGCATCTCAAGCAATGTATAATTAAAGTAATATTTTTCTGTACAGGTAACACTTTGCCTAGTCACCAAGCAAAGCAGCAATCAAATGGATTTTCTTCAGAGCTTCAGCAAGGAAATGCAGACTCTCCAAAATACACACAGGTAGTTAACTCAAGCCAACAAAGGATGGAGAAACTGAACATGAATCATCAAAGAGACTTGAGTCCACCAGCACCAGGTTCCAACAAACCATCCCCAAGCCCGCTGCAGTTCAGAAAACTCCCAGTGACTCCTAAAGAGGCCTGCCTGTCTAGAATGTTACCATTGACTCAGAATCCAGACAACCTAGTTTATGAAAGCATTGGTACTAAAGAACAGGAATTATATAGCAAGGATTGGTTGGAAGGAAGGACAGGCTGTCAGATGGCAGCTAATAATAATTCGATCTGTGCCATGACACTTAGATTTGGAGCAGGGCTTGTGGAGCTTGGTGGGAAAGATTCTGAAGCTGCAGGATCCAACAACATGCACGCGCAATTGTCTCCAGCTGAAACATGCCAAGAGTCATATGGCCAGTTGCAGGACATGGCATCTGAGAAAGAGGCCCCTCAGGCTCAGCTTGAGTCTGACTCAAGGAGACTAAGTGCCATGTATGCTCGAGTGTGCAAGCGTACCAAGGCAGCTCAGCCAGCGCAACCTGAAAATCATGATGAGCCTAAGAAACAAGAAGAGGAAGAACCCCCACCCATTCCAGAAAAATGTTTTGAGCACATCTATGAAAGCCTGAACATTGATGGTGAGATGAAGGTTGGGGACTTGTAGGTGCATCTCTTTCTAAACTGGAAGGCGTACTGTATGTTCTAATCTAAATGGGCAACTATAAGTATCATGCACTTACATAGAAAAGTTAGTTATGTACATTCATATGGTGTTCATAAATATCTGTGGTATATATATGCTAGTGAAGAGTTACTGAAATGTAAGCTTTTTTTTTTTTAAACCAGTTCAAGCTATTTTCCATCTTTTCAAAATCATGGTTCTAGAAATACTATCCTTTTCTTCCACTTCTGTAGCAAACACTTTTCCCCCTTCTGACATCAATTCTGACTTTCCTGGGCCTTTTTTCATTGACTGGCCAACTTGGAAGCGTTCCTCTGGCAACGGCAGGGCCGAGATGGTGGCCACCAAAAAGATAAAGAGGCCTTTAGAATCGATAAATTCAAGACTCCAGCTGGTTACGAAATAAGGTAAATATGTACTTGGATATAAAAAAACTAGTATATGTTATCCTAACTGTGCTGCTTTGAGAAAGTCAGAAATTGAGTACTATGCTATGTTGGCCAAAACTGTTGTGCATAACTACAGTGGCAACAATATTGAACTGGAAACAACTTGTGGGAAGTACTACAGAGTATGTACACTTGCTATAATTGACCCAGGTGACTTTGACATACCGTACTTTCCGGCGTATAAGACGACTTTCGCAAGCTTTAAAATTGGCGCTGAAGACGGGGGTCTTATACGCCAAGTCGTCTTGTACGCCGGAAATAACGGTAGTTTCCGGCGTATAAGACAACTTTCTAGGCATGCGACTCGGCACCGAAGACGGGGGTCGTCTTATACGCCGGGTTGCCTTATACGCTGGAATATACGGTAATTAGAAGCATGCCAGAACATGAGAAGTAAAGAAGTAAAAGTTTACTTAATAAGTTTATTAAATAAAATTAATAAACTTAAATTCTGTGTAATAAAACTGGCTATAAATCTAAAAAAAATCTGATTTCCCTGGGAAAAAGAGCTAAAACCAGTTTATCTTTGTGGTACAGAGATGATGTTCATCATATGATAATACCCCTGAACTCATTTCGACCTCTAATTTGATGGATGTGGAAAGTGTGTTTTAGAAAAAAGCAGACAGGACTGAACAACCATGTGCATAACTGACTATGTTCTTGACTCATCTGTCTTTCATCTTGCAATTAAGGAAACAGTAGCAGGATTGTTATCAGTAGTGGGTGGAGCTTACAGCTTTATAGAAAGCAAGAGTGATCTGTAAATTCAAGATGGAAAGCAGTCAATTTTAAGTTTTTTTAGCAGCTTGATACTTTCTGTGATTACAACCCCCTATCATTTCCACAAGGGAGGATACTGTGAAGGATATGGAGGTCTCCAAGACTGTTAGATATTGGACTCTCCAAAATCTGGGTCCTTTCTTGGCGAATACACTGGGAATGATAGGTTTTATAATCTCAAACCTTCCATAATCTGTAAGCATAACGTAGGCGATGGCACTGGCATACAGAAACCCAAAAGGACTAGGATTGGGAAAAGTAGCTTTAAGTAACTGTAAGCCTGGGTTTTTATGTGGGATTTTACATCATTACTCAGTTGTGGCTCTCCTATTTGAATACTGTATGTTCAGAATTGTCTTCCACAATTTCTGCCACAATTTAATTCTAAAATCTAAAGAGGGAAGAGGGGAAGAAATAATTTCTGAGTCTTGGAACGTACATTCAACTAACGACACCTTTGGGTAATTATTTTGCTCACTAAAATGAGAAACTGCATTATACCAATGATAGGGGACATTTCGCATTCTGTCAAATTGTAATATTAAAGATATACCAAATCTATAGCATGTGTTTCAAATACGTATTTAATCTATTTTTTTAAATAACTTATCTTCACTTTTTGCATTGACAAAGGAATCAAGGCAGCTAATAAAATTAAAATGGGCTTGAATACCAGCATCAGTAACTTGATTATTGTTTGTTTATTCATACAGTTTATAGGCCACATATTTCCCAATTATTCTGGGCATCTTACAATTAAAAGTGTGTGTGTGTGGGGGGGAACCCAGACCAAGGAATTCATAAATGTTCCAAAGACAAAATATACCTCTTGCACAGAGAAGGCACACTGCTTAATTACTTAATAGGACCTGAAGTACATCCACTTTGCCCAGTCTCGCTGGATGATCAGAAATAACTGGAGACAATTGGTTGCTCAAACAATCAGGCCCTATGCCATGAAAAGCTTTATGGGTGAGAAGCAGCCCCCACAATTAGACAAAAATTAAAACATTGGCAGTGTTGCAAAGACTCCACTACCCGGGTCCCAAGGGCAAAACCAACAGGTAAGTATCCAACCGCAGCACAGAGAACAACTTTCCAGCACCAGTATGGTTTCAAGCTGGATGAAACAGACTCACAGATGTCTCCACCCAGCCTGGCAGTGCTCCCATATCACCTGAAGTCTCCAGCTCCTTTTCAGCAACCTCTTCACTGTCCACCCCACTGGACAAAAGCACCCAAAGGGTTAAATACTACCCGGGCCAAATGTCCAGACTTGGTACCAATGGGGCAATAGAAAGTCCTCTAAGTCTGGGGGTTTGTCAGAGGTGTTTACAATAGAGAAGGGGACTAGGCAGGGTTGCCCATTGTCACCATTGCTGTTTGTTTTAACCATGGAAATACTGTTGATTAAAATTCGAGAATCACAGCAAATAAAAGGAATAGAAGTCAATAAAAAAGAATATAAATTAAGGGCTTTCGCAGATGACTTGGTGGTTACCTTATCTCAACCTACTTATTCTGTAATAGAGTTATTACAATTGATACATCAGTATGGACAGGTTTCGGGTTTTAAAATTAATAACAATAAGACTAAAATATTGCCTAAAAATATGACTAATCTGGATAAGCAGACTTTGGTTAAGTTGACAGATTTTGAGGTTGTCAATAAGGTAAAATATCTGGGGGTTATTTTATCTGTTTCTAATGCAAAATTGTACAAAAATAACTATGAAAGGCTGTGGGTCAATATACAAAGAGATTTGGAAAATTGGGAGAAGTTGCAATTATCTCTTTTGGGAAGAATTGCGGCGATCAAAATGAATGTTTTGCCAAAGTTTCTTTTTTTATTTCAAATGATACCTATTTTAAAGAATGAGGTTTATTTAAATGAATGGCAGAAAGGTATTAACAAATTTATCTGGGCAGGGAAAAAACCAAGAGTAAAACTTAAAATTATACAGGATATTCGTGAGAGAGGTGGACTCAAGGTACCGAATTTGAAATTGTATTATGATGCTGTGGTTTTAACATTAATAAGTGATTGGGTTAATTTAACAAATGTAGAAATACTCCTCTTAGAGGGTTGGGATTTACTTTTTGGATGGCATTCCTATTTAATTTTTAATAAAAAGGTTGATAGGGTCTTTAAATCTCACATTATAAGGATTTCTTTACTTCGGGTTTGGAGAAAATATTATAGAAGTGATTTAAAAATTCCACTATGGGCTATACCGGGGCATGCGATAGAAGGGATAAGGAGAGGAGTTAAGATGGATAGCGTTTTTTATGCACAATTATTTAGATGGGATGGTAAAAATTGGCAATTAAAATCTTTGGAAGATTTAATACAAGAAAATAGTATTTATTCATGGTTTTATTATAGACAAATAGTGGAGAGGTGGAAGATAGATCGTAATGTGAGTTTGCTTAGAGAAGATGAGAATTTATTAAAACAAATAAAAGATCAAAGACGAACCCATATTAACAGAATTTATGGGGTGTTAGTAGAATTGGATTCAGAAGTAGAATTAGTTAAAGAATGTATGGTTAAATGGGCACAAAATTTTGATGAACCGGTTCTATTAGATACCTGGGAAATTATTTGGGTGAGGAATGTTAAATTTACACAAGCCCAAAATTTAAGGGAAAATTTTTACAAAATGTTTTATAGATGGCACCTTGATCCACAAAAAATGTCTCGTATGTATCCTGACTTACAGCCTAAATGTTGGAGATGTGGATGTTTGGATGCTACTTATTATCATATCTGGTGGTCATACAAAAATATAAAAGCTTTTTGGATTAAGATATGGTGGAATATTCAAAGAATTTTTAGAAGAAGGGTAAAATTTACCCCACAACTGTTTTTGTTAGGTATTGTTTCTGATTGTGATACTAAAGAGACTATATTGATGTTAAATTTAATCACAGCGGCAAGGTTGTTAGTAGGGCAATGTTGGAAGAAGGAATCTTTGCCTACCTTGCAAGAGTGGTTTTTTAAAATTTCTTATTTGGTGGAAATGGCAAAGATTTCGGCTTTCTTGAAAGACCAATCACAAGAGAAGTATTTTTTGGTATGGAAAAAATGGATAGACTTTATACAATATAAGTTGGATATAAAAAAATATTATTTAGCTTTTCAATAATTTATACTTAAAATTTAAGATATCTTATAGACTTTTTCCCTTTTTCTTTCTTCCTATTTTCTTGTATTTTCTTGTATTTTTGTTTTTTTATACATATATTATTGTTAACTAGTTTACAATTTGTTTAATTAATGTATTTAGATTTGTTTATGGTTTATATTTGTTTTAAGACTTTTTGAAAAAATATTAATTAAGCCTATATTCAGCTCTGGGAAGCTCGGGGGAGGGCATGGGAGGGTTGGGGGGGCTCGAGGAAGGGAACCGTATTGTTTTGTAAAATTTAAAAATTTTCAATTAAAAAAAAAAAAAGAAAGTCCTCTAAGTCTTAGGTAGACCTGCACCTCAGAAAGCTGGCAGTCCTACTGCAACCAGCCACGTTCTGTTAATTGGTGATCGTGAACTTTGCCTAATCTTCCCAACTGTAGATCACCTCATATCCAGTTGGCAGGGAAACCAAGCCATGCTCAGTTTTAGACCTCAGGTCATTCCTTCAGTGGTTGCCAGCATGCTTCCGTTGGCCTCCACAAAGTGGCTGCAGTCCATTTCAAACCCAAGTATGATCCCTAGCATCTCCTTAGTCCTTCTGACTATCCATACTGAAAGTTACAAAAGAAAGGAAGGTATATGTGTACGAGGGTTCGAACATTATGGTTCTAGAGAATCAGTTCTCTATTAGTTTCTCTGCATATCACAGCACTCCAACATGTTCCTGGTGGTGCTTTTGAGCAGGATATTGGTTAGGCCTCTTGAACTAAAGAAGGTGACCCAGACCTGTATTTCGAGAATTGCAAGGAAACTTGGTGATGGCCAGCTGCTCTTCAGGCAAGACTGTCTACGAGGCTGATCTTACTGCCAGTTTTGTTTAAAGTTGAGATGATGTTTCCATCTGGTTGAACAGATTTATTCTGTAAAGCATTTGTAGTGAAGGCAGACTGAATTATATTATAAATAGCCCTTTGAAATAGAACAATAGGATAGAACTATGGCAAGTACTCCTAAAAGTAATTTAGATCTCAATATTTGTAA